AAACTATTATTATACTTTTATCGATACTTTTGTTATTTACAAAAAGTAAAAGTAGTTTCAAGAAGTACTTTTCACCTAGAATTTGTATCTATTATAACATTAACACAATAATTACGAAATAGATACAAATATATTCTTTTTGGTATAATAATTAGATAAAAATGAAAAAAACTTGAGAAAATACTTCTTAAACCTTTTATGATGGTACGGTAGCTCAAAATTCTAAAGAAATTCTTCGACTATTCAAATGTTAAAAAAAAATCACAAGATTGTAAAATAAACATTCCTGTGGACGAAGACGTAGCTACGTCGTAGTACGTATGTATTGCATACGTAGTTCACGATAGATCTTAAGTTAATCCTTCGAGGCTTATACTTTGACCGTGTATCGTACGTGAAACCGGTCACGTACAGGAATTCCGGGAACTTGGTAAAACTTTTCGTGAGGACGACGACTCTAGATTCGATCGCCAAACTTCATCGTGATCATTTCCTCCTTGGATGCATTCGTCAATATCTTTTTTTTTTTCTTCTTTTTTTTTTCCTCTTTCTGTACAGATGCGTCTCGAACGTGAAAACGTCTCGGTGTTGGGAAAACTCGCGATAAAAACGAGCGAGCGACCGCGATTCCGTGGCGCCACGATAAAAATGTGAAGCTCGCGGCACGAATTTTCGATGATTGATAACGGCCCCTATCGATAATACGTCGAGTCAGATAAACAAAAAAAAAAAAAAAAAAAAGGAAAAAAGAAAAGAAAAATTGAGTTCCATGAACGTGTCCAAATATTGCAACATCGAGAATCAAAATTTGACGTATCGATGAACGTCAAAATGTGAACTGGATGTTTTGAAATTTGAACGAGTATTCCGGAAAAGTAAAAGTTGCGCGTAGAGAGTATCGAATAATACGATGAAGTGTAAACGTGTGTATCGTGTTTGACGAGAGGGAAATTATCGTGAAGGGAAAAGTGAAATGAGTGAGAAAGGTGTGGTGTCGTCGCTGAAGAATCGTGAAAGGGTGAGCGGAAGTATCTTCTGGAGGCACAGCTGGCACTGCTCTGCCTATTTATCGAGGGAATTGTCCTTCAGCAAGCTGAACAGCCCTGTTCGTAGCTGGGACAACATGGCTCGGGCCAAGACCAACAAGTAAGAGTTCACTAACCTTTTATTCTATGTGTATTTGTTATCCAGCAATGCGTGCTTTAATGGTTAACACGGCTAAGAGATGTACCAAGTATTTACGTATCTCTAGAACGAAATTTTCAATTATATTTCGTTGTCGGTTTTTTTTTTTTTTTTCTTTTTCTTTTCTTTTCAAGTCATTGAATCTTTCCAAGTTATTTGTCGAAAGAGATATTGTTCGAAGAATAGTTTGAACAATGGCTCGCATGGATAGCTGAGCCATTGAAAATTATTCGTAATTTGCAGAAATGGAAGATGGTTTCGCGAATTTCTAAACTTGGAAAGGTATTCGTGCGACGTCAAATATATTTAATATTCCACGAGCGTGTATGAATTTTTACATTTGCTGCGCAATACATTTTTCATAAATATCTCTCTAAATTAATAAATCGTCGTAATGTCGAGGATTTTAATTTAAAAAAATACGCTCTACATCGAATAACTTTTTCTTTTCAAGTCATTGAATCTTTCCAAGTTATTTGTCGAAAGAGATATTGTTCGAAGAATAGTTTGAACAATGGCTCGCATGGATAGCTGAGCCATTGAAAATTATTCGTAATTTGCAGAAATGGAAGATGGTTTCGCGAATTTCTAAACTTGGAAAGGTATTCGTGCGACGTCAAATATATTTAATATTCCACGAGCGTGTATGAATTTTTACATTTGCTGCGCAATACATTTTTCATAAATATCTCTCTAAATTAATAAATCGTCGTAATGTCGAGGATTTTAATTTAAAAAAATACGCTCTACATCGAATAACTTTTTCATTCAATGTGGTTGTTTTATCGGAGAAAGAGAGAAACAGAGAGAGAGTACTTTTGACGAGAAGCATTATCCTTCCGCACGTTTCAACTATAAAGTTTTATTCCTTTTTTTTTAACACACGATACACGTGTACCGTTGCAGGATGAAACAGAAAATTAAATAGATATCGGATATCCACATCGTCCATCACGTCTAAAACGCTATCGAAAAAAGAGTGCATACAAGACCAGGCGTGCCCTGCGCGTGCATTATTAAATTTTCCATTCGTCCTCCTATCGTATATTATCGCGATTATTTTATACATTTCACGAAGATCATGGATCTCGCGCCTCTCGTTATAAATTTCGTGAAAACCTCCGTCTGTTTTCGTTGCTGTTTGGCACGCAACTCGTAATTATACGAGACACGTGTTACATTTTCGCCAACGCGAAAGCAAATAGGGTTTGAGAAATCGTTTCTATCCTCGTTATTCCTCCACACATTGGTTCCGTCACGATCGATAAATGAACGTACGAAACGCGAAATTCTTACGAAGTTGAAACGTTGAAAAACATTTCCATTCGGACACGTTGACCGAATTAATCGAATTCTCTCACGATATCTGGGGATAAAAATTCTTACGCCAGCCAGTGAGAATGGAAACGCGAAAATTACCAGGCTATTTGTTTTAACGTTAATCTTGGAAGGTCTTTGAGTAAATTTCGTTTGATTAATCGCCAATGGAAACTTTCTGACGAATTTCTCGTGCATATAAAATGCAGCCGGTGCACCAAGGCGAACATGGCGGCTGCACGCTACAGAAACTGCTTATAAAATTTCATTCGAGTCATTTCCTTATTTTGTACGCGATTAACCGAACGCCAACACTTTAAGACTGCTAAGCTGTTTATTCCACCGATTTACCGTGTTCCATGAATTTTATTAGTAATGAACTGGAAAGCCTAGGATTTTGAGCCTCTCGCGTAATAGGATGAAAATGGTTTAGAATCGTGGTTTCTATTTTATGCATTGTCGTTAAATGTATTTTAAATAGAATTTCGCAATGTGTACGTATCTGTAATGGGATAAATTTTGAATTTGAAAAATGATAAAAATATATCTGATATAGTAGTGAAATTCATACGTTGAATTTCATTATTGGCGAATTGGAAAATTTGAAATTTTGCATCTCGCGTTGAAATAATTTTACACACGTCATCAGATGTGAATAAATAAAATTTCGCAATGTTTCTATTTATGGCAAGATGAAATTATATCGGTGAATATATTTTGATGAAAATTTTCTTTAAACGACGTTATCGACGGGATGATCTCGAGTAAAAACGCGGGGTCATCGATCTTTCATATTGGAAAACAGTTTTCGTCCTAGGATAGCTACAATAGAAAGATGACTCGACACTAATTAACTTCATGCGCGTCAGCACGATGGATCAAAAATGTCTACAAACTAACGGCAGCGACGTCGTCACCTCGACGATTCTCGACACTTCTCTTCAGAGTCTCTGTAATGAGAACAGAATATTATAGTTTGAAGTAAGAATTAAACGATTTCGAAGAGTTGTTCTCTCCTCCTCTTATTTAATTAACTTATTACCGTGAAAAGCATAAATCTAATTATTATTAAGAGTTTAATTATTTAGTTTACGAATAGGTTATCGTCGCAAATTAGTTGATCGAGAAAATTTAATTTTCTTCGATTCTTATACAGTTGTAAATCTGTCTTTGAGCGAAGACTCTTAAAATCGAATTGAACATTAAAATTAGGATGATTATCATGCGAATATTTAGATATCAAGTGGACTCGAGTAATTATCTCAAGTATTCTCATTATCGTTAGTTTAACTTTATTTTTTGTTCATTCTGCGCGTTAAAGTCACGTATCATAATTGCAAAAACGAAAAATATATTTCAACAATTTAGCTTTGTATGATTATTCTTAAAAATTCAAATAAATGATTTCAAACGATTTAAAGTCGTACCAAATTGAAAAGCGTTATTAAAGAAATCATTGAATAATATCGTGAAAGGAGAAGCAATTCGATTATTCATTACATTCCACAATTCAGAATCCGATCAAAGAAGCTTCATGAAACGAAATCCATTATTTCGATCAATGGATTGTTTTCGAACCATAACAATTCCCGGTATAAAGTGGGCTCGAAACAGATGCCGCGATAAAAGAATTCCTGATTCAGCTTTCTCAGATTCTTTCCCTCGAATAAAAAAAAAAAAAAAAAAAGAAAAGAAAGAAAAAGAAAAGAAGAAATGAAAAGAAAATTGAGATAACGATGAAATGAAAAGAGCTCGACATATGGTTAATTCGTAGCGAAAAAGCGAGAAGAGAGAATATTTTATTCGCTTATTAAAATACGAATATAAACGAAATACAATGCTCGTGCTTGTTTCGTAACATCGCGAAGGTATCAAATGGTTTCTTTCTTGAAACAGAACGGAAGAAACGGTTCCTCACGTCTTGGAATTTCCTCGAAGCCTCGTGCATAATTTCTTCGGGAGATAAAGCGATGGGCAAACGATGAAGAAGAATACGGAAGAGAAGAGGAAGTCGAACCTGGGAGGCGATTAATCGTGAAAGTCTAAGAGTGGTTCGGGATGAATTATTAATTCGACGGGGACGAAGATTAATCGTTTTCCGGTCCGATGGAAACAAACTTTTCATTTGCCTCGTTCTGATTAGATTGTCAATAAAAATCCACGTAAGGAGTAATCGAAGGAGGGAGGGGCGGGAAATGAAATTCCTCTTCTTTCTTTTTAAAAAACTAATCGCGCGAATAATAAAAAAAAAAATAAATAAAAGACATTTCTGACGAATAGCTAAATTATATTTCCTATCGCTTATCTATATTTCTTTTCACACGACGTACATGCAAGATGTTTGAACAGTAAAATCTATTATTAAAAATTATTTATAGATGGCACGAACAAATACTCGTTTCAATTTAAAAAAGGAAAAGAGATATATAACGAGACAGATATTACCTTCGTACGGCCTTCGTTCCATTTATCTACAGACAGACCAATTACACTAGATTAACTCCCCTTGAAAACCTATTCAATTTTTCTCCAAATCACTTTTTCATTCATGAATTCATTAAAATCAAACATCCCGTTGTATCTTACGATATTTTACGATTTCGATAAGCGCAAAATTAAGCGCCTCTCCTTATCTTTACGTAACGCAAAAAAAAGAAAAAGAAAAACAATACCATCGCGAGGAGAAAAGAAAGAAACGATTTAGACCGAGCTAAACGTGGAAGAGAAGTATATATAAATAAATATAAATTACGTAATCTCTGCATAATAGACCGGTAAGAAGGCCTATATCGGAGCACGCGAACACGAGAAAGATGGTTTGCGAACAGATGCAAGATGTCCAATGAAAGCCTGGGGCGGCCAAAGTTCCTCGAGGCTCCTCTCGTGAATAATTTCGCGATATGATACACAAAGGGGTAAGAGCGAAGGGAAGGAAGAGAGAGAGAGAGAGAGAAAGAAGGGTGCATGATGTCAAAAATAGAAGGAAGGAGGAAAGAGGCAGAGAGGGGGCTGGTTGGCTATCAGAATGTGATTTAGGTCGGGAATTCACGATGCAATATCAATGAAATACGAGCCCCCCGAGGCGGCCTTCGTCCGCATCGTCCATTGTCTGGTTCAGCAGAAACTGCTTCATGAAGAGGCGACTGGCGTGCGGTATTAAAGAAAAACTGGTCTTGGAGGAACCTGCCCCGCTCTGCCGAAAGGGGAATCTCCGCCGCTTGTATACGCGATCTTTCCCGCCGAGAGGGACGCGATATAAACATTCGTAAAAAGATGTCGCGCGGACGTTGAAAGTTTTGGTCGACGATTACTTTAGCGGAGGAGTCCGCGGGATAATTTTATCGAGAATAATTTCCGCGGTACCGTTTCAAATATACGCCCTCTTCGTCATCTGTCAGCTGCGGAAGAAGAGGAGAAAAGAGAGAAATTTCGTGGAATTTGTTCGAGTAGATTTTTTTTTTTTCAATTTTTATACGGGTAAGAAAAATCCTAATATCTTGGATGAAATATTGGCAACATCTATCTATCGTTATAATATGAAAGTAGGAGGGGGAGTATATATCAGGCTAATGCGTTTTCTATTATACAACTGGTTAGAAGGGAAGAAGAATTCGTTTCTATTAGTCGAGAATAGATGGCCTTCGAGTGAATTCACCATCCAATTTACGTGAATTTTCATGGGATGATGTATTAGGTAGCTGGGCGCGATTCATCTTCGCTCTTTGAAGCACTGTTTTCAATTTTAAATCGCTCGAGGTATAAATGGCGATGATGTTCCGCCAGCTGTTTTAATGCTGTTGCTCACCTCGCGAAAAGAATCGTTTTACTTATTAGCATAAAAAGGGTAGAAGAGGCGCGCTGGGTAAAAACAATTAGGAGGAGACGAGTTGTTATTTAACCTTGGTATCCTCAAAATTATTCCGCGTATAAACGTAATTTATCCTTCTCGGCGTTGTAAAGAAGTCACTCGTGTGGTCGATCGATGGAAAAATTTTCCTCGGGCGAATGTCGCTTGTGCGTACATGAACGTTTCACCTTCGTAGGAAACATGAAACTAGCGAGGTTAACCGCATCCTTTTCGCCGCGTCTGTCCATTCAACGCGATCCACGCATAAAACTACTCGTGTCGATGCGCTCTCGCGTCTCGTTTTACCTTTTCGCATCATTGTCGCCCTCCCAAACCAATTCGTAGCTTCTGAAAATCCTCTATAAATCTTCTCTATCTGTGGAGAGAACTACTCCAATTAGTGGATGAAATAATTTAGAGGAGGAGATGGATCTCGCGAAACATTTGAAAGCGAAGACCGAAATGAAAGCGAATTCGATCGTAATCAATCCTCCCTTTGGGAGAGCGGAAACTTGGAGTGTGATGGTTTCTAAAACTTTCTAAAAAGAAATTTCCACTTTTAATCCGGAGATAAATATTATACGAGGAAACAGAGAGAGAGAGAGAGAGAGAGAGAGAGAGAGAGAGAGAGAGAGAGAGAGAGAGAAGAGAGAGAGAAGAAGAAGAA